TATTCAACTAGCTCTTGAAGGAGAAGCTCATTAGCCGCAATCAAAACTTCAAAAATATCCGAGGTTTCATACTCATCTAATGAAATGATTCCGCCATAAATATATCTTTATTATAATATATCTAAGGTTATTATAAATTTAGAATATCATAATAAAGTAACATGATTTTCTAGTCATAACTTACTTCAAAATAATTTGTAAGATTTCCGGTAAAATGTTTGGTAACTTTATATGAGTTAAGACATCATTGTCCTTTTTGTTGGAAGCCAAAGTTCGTCGAAAAAAAGGAGAACGGTAACACAATATGATCATGTGCGCACGGAATATTTTTACGTTTGGGTCTTCCCCTGTTTCGATTGTAATATCATAATATTCATCGTCATCTAATATTTCAATATAATTTTGGCTTAATTTAGGAAAAAATTGTGCCGACATTTTTATTTCATAAATTTTGAAAGTAAAAAGTCTGGAAAAAAACATTTGAAAATCCTAGTCTATACTGTATATAGGAATTATCCAAACCAATCAAAATTAATCAACGGTCATTTCCTATTTTATAAAAATTATTTCTGCGCAAATTAATAATAATAAAATATTTTAGAGCATTGAAAGGATTAATCTTAAAGTTATGCAAATTATGGCAATTATTGGACATTTGACAGATGAGAGTTTAAAAAGAGGTAGAAGTGCGAAAAAACCGAAAATTGAAATTTGGAATCAAAGTGAAACTTTTTTGATGTACAGTAAGTAACCTTCAAAAAGAAAATTCGTGATCGAATTGTTTAATACTATTTCTTCTCGTCTAATTATTATATTATATTTTATTTTATATATATATTTATATATTTAAAAAAAAGTTTCTCTTTTTGAAAAAATAAATTATAAGATTTGCAACATCTAAGTATCATGCGTCAGGTATCAGATGTCAACTGGCCTAAATTACCGGCTCATTTTTATAATGTCTGGGTAGCATTACTGATGATCATTTCTATATTTAGTATCCAATCGCAAATCAATACATGCAATTTATTTATGTAAGAGCCTTTATAAATGTTTTAATAAGAAGAAAGTTATACTACATGATACGGTTGACGTCATTAGATTTTTAGGATTAATGACCAAAGCTAGGTAACTCCGATAAGAATTTCCCATCATGTTTATTTATTCATTCATTTAGCACTTGATTACTAAGGATGAAGAGTGAAGTGCGAGGGTGCGAATCCCGAAGATCAAATCCCGAAGGGTCATAATCCTTAATGACTTTAATCCCAAATATTATTATTCCTGCGCATCAAATTTTAAGACATGTTTAACGAAGTTTATTGAGTTTATTAAATCTTTATTTTTTTAAAATTTTGCAAAAAATTTTTATCTTTGACCACTTATTAAAATATTTACCAACCATATATTTCATATGTTTTAAAACAATGAAAATTGTGAAATCGTGGAAAATGCACCTTCTCAAAAAGGAATGATAAAAATAAAAGTTCTCCAATGCACATTCAATAATTTAAAATTTACATTGAATTATTTAAAATTTTAACATTTATGAGGTTCGGTCAAATCTCTACTTTTTCGATGTGGTGCACAGAAAGTTTAATAAAAACATTTAATATCGTGCGATGCAAATCGAATATAGTAATAACTATTTAAAATTATGATAATCGGGATTATGATTATTCAGCTTCGGGATTATGGTCGTTCGGGATTATGATCTCCCGGGAATTTGACACTTCAGGGTTTGATCTTCGGGATTCTGATGCACAATTACATATTTAATCAATTTTTTTTTCTTTCATCGGGTCCTAAGGAAAGTCTAAATTATTTGCTTAACAAAGCAAATAATTTGTCAATTATGATTCTTGCTCTTTATTTTCGTTGGCTTTAAGGTTATGAAAGTTTCTAATAGGTTATCGGTTCAATAAAATATTTTATTCCTTAGACAACAATAATTGCATAACACCAAGTTTCGTTATTTTTATAGTTTCCGAGTTATTCTTACTTGTTCCATTTTTTGACGTTAGGCGATTTTTTGAGTAATTTCGATTGTCGCTTTAAATTACAGGATCCTGAAACACCTGCACAAGAATATCTTGTTGAATGTAGCTAATTTATTTTAGAGAGATTAATTAATCGTAACGGATGAATATTTATGCATACATAAAAATTAAAAAATTGAACAACGAAAAATTTATTCTTTTGATCGATTGGACCCCGAAGAAATTTTGATTTTCTTCGGATTAATGACAAATATGGAAAATGTGATATATTACGATCTCCACTTTTCGGAAATTTAATAATTATTAGACTCACTAATTAATGCCTGCCAAGGTCGTTAAAATCATTCTCTATGTCATCATTATTTTACGAATTAGAATCAAAATTTTCAAATGTTGCATTCCCCAACAAATTGTATAAATATCGCTCATATTTTTTCAAATATTCATTCATCCCAACATACAAACATAAATTTCTTACTTTCCTTAACATTTTATCATTTTAAAAGTGAGCAGTGCTCCTTCATTAGTTAACATATATCACTCTTTCTTTACTCGAGCAAGTCTCAGAAAAAAAATAAAAATATAAAATAATAATAAAAATAATAAAAATAATACCTTTTAATCAATATGAAATTCGCATCAATTTTCGCAGTTACTTTGGCACTCGTCGCTACTACTCAAGCAGCACCT